TATTTAATTGGTTAGCTTATTTGATTATTTATTTATTTATTTATTCCCATATATTTATTTATCTTTCTATTTATCTATTTACTCTTATTTATTTCTTTTACTTGCATGACGACTTGTGTAGATACTCCTTTACTGTGATGTAGTTTAAGCTTAGTTACCTGTGATATAGATTTAGAAACCAGGCATCTGTGATATATGTATTTAGGAACGATATATTCGGTCAGGTTAAGAAGTGTCGTGTTGTCATGGAAGTTCAGTGCTAATAAGACGGTCAGCTTAATGAAACTCCACGAAGTCTAACTGGGTATGTACTCCGTAGGTTCACACAGGCATATCGCCAGGGCGGCAAAACCGAAGTTTTCGAGTTGGGCTCTTTACGCCAGCAACTATTGGGCATACATATGTGCAAAAAGACCAGCTGATCTGGAAGCACATAAGAACTAACGTCAACGACCGCATGCACATAAGCGGAATACAACATGGTGAAATGAACTGAAAGTGGCGCATTCCCGAAACCGCTACTTTGGTTTTACCGACTTTGACATTTATGGCGATACGTAAACAAACTTTTTGTTTAGAAACAAGTGCAAACGTATTGCAAACGTATTGTGTACTTTCAAGTGAAAAATCGAAGTAATTCGTGCGTTCTGAAGTAAAAAACGTTTTATTTGTAATAAAGACTTTATAAAAATGTCGTGTCGTGTGTTGAATTGCAGCAGCCGTAGAGGTAAAGCCCCCAAATGCAGTTTTTTTTTGTTTCCCCGCGACGACGCCTTGGCCAGAAAGTGGGTAGAGTTCTGCCGGCAGGAGAAGCCATAAAATTTAGACACCAGCGTAATATGCATGAAGCACTTTACGGACCACTTTTAAACACGACATGTTAAGTTGAAAACGTTGAAATACCACAAATTACAAACTAAAATCGTAGGTAAGCAAGCATCGACCACTTTCTGCAGGAAAACATGCGCTGCGACTAGATATTATCATTTTTTCGGCACCTGCAATACAAACACAAAAATTCTAAATAGTTAATTAATAAGACCTATTCTTTTGAACACATTTCAAGAGTGGTTGTATATTTTTTGTTAACGTAGTGCTTAATTTGCTATATTCAAAGATGGCTTGAGAAATTGGTGAATCGAGAAGAAAACACGTTTTCTCACTGCAAATTCACAACTGTCAACTCATTGTTCTTCGCCATATTCTTTGTTTACCCGTTGCCACAAATGTCATTCTGCGGGAATGCGCAATCTTGTATTCTATCGTTCTTGGGAATACAACCGATTTTGAGGGAGCGTAGCAAAAAGAATCCAGAGAGGAAGAAGACACTGGAGAAGCGAGATCATACTTACATACATAATTAGTAAACCTTCCAAGCACAGGAATCAACGCGGTAAGCGCAGCGAGAGCTTCCAAGCGCTCCGATCCAGGCGCTCTGAAAGTGGATTGTGTCATTTTTCTTACTCCCATTACACTATCTTTTTTTTTGCCTGCTATTTTAAATTACACTTTCTCCTGTCATTCTTCAATTAGTTTATTTTTGTTTGCTCTTTTTTATAATTATTGTTTCTTCGCACATGATCCGTTTATGTTAAATTTATTGCGAGAACTTTTCTTCAATTAGTTAATCCTTTTTTTTTGAATTTGCCGCAGATGTTTAGTTATAAATATGTACTTCTTTCTTTACATGAATTCCTATATCTAAGTTTTAATTTTTCTCCATACCGTTTTTTGGTTAGTTTAGTAGCAGTTATTGCGATTTTTTTTTCTTACCCCCATATATTGTTGTGTTTTCGATATTTTGTTGGTTAAGATGCGTATCCCCGAAGCTATTCCGTTGAATTGAATTATAGTTTTTTTGTTTTAATCGAGAATCCATTTAAATTTAGATCTAAAGTATTTGTCCTCCAAAAGGTGTCGTATCAAAGCGCGTGGTCCCAATGAGTTTGACCCTTCGACATTTGTCATTGTAGACCCAAATATGCTCCCTCTATGATAAACACATACTCTTCCATACTCGCTGGAAAGCTGTACATACGTACGTACATATTTTTTTTGTTTTTAGCAACCTGTCTCCCGCATGCAGGCGCCTTCATCGTTGGAGAGACCGGTGAGTACTAACGTACATGCATATATAATTATATGCATTGACCTATACTCTTGGTTTCTTGTGAAATTTGTACATAGAGGTAGTAGCTTTGAGATATCCACAGTGGCGTACATGATTATTGGGCCAGGTTCCTTTCGAATGAAGGCTTAGGTAGATAAGTATAGATCTAATTACAAAGTTGAAATACAAGTTCACAAGCAAGAATTATATGAATCAAAAATTGTTAAACTTGCCATCTATTTTGAATTAGTTTTCAGTTGAGGTCTAAGAACAAGGAATTTGAATTTAATGAATCGTCAAGCTGTAGCTTTTAGTACATATATAGTAATAGGTGAAATTATTGCAGATAGTATTGTTATTTTTGTAATGAATAAAATATTCCAATGTAGAGAACTTGAAAAGATTTAAGAATGAGTTGCTAAGATAATTGGTTTGGTGTGGGTGTTGCACTAGTGCAATAGAGGGGACATGGGTTTTGGTGACTTCAGACTGTGGACAGGGACATGACAGATAAAATGACATACGGACACTAGTCAGGATTAGGGAACTCTGCGATTTGAAGGAGTCATGGCAGAGTCCAAGGCTACGACGTGTTGATGGGGAGGGATGACTCCACCTGACAGGACTGGCCTTTTCTTCCATCATACCCTAACATCTATCTTACCTTTCTTATTTTTACCTCCACCTAGGCATGACCTATATTTTTGTTTACGTAGCTGAAGGTAAGGCTGAAACCCACCCATCCAACGAGCTTAGCCTGGGCTCGCCACCATGCCTTCCCACCTCCTCGCTTTACCCCAACAACCAGTTACATAACAGATGGGATGCTACAAGAAGACATTAATGTAAATGAGATTTCTACAATATAACATACAGAGTTATAAAGCAAATAAATATAATCTTGAATATTTCATAAATAACAATGATATTGACTTTGTGCTTCTATCTCAAATTTTTACATTTAGTGAGAACGATTTTAACCTAAAATTGCTTAATAATAATCTTTTGCACAGGTTTAGACAAGGCAGATTTGGTGGTGTTGCTATTGCCATTAAGAAACCGATACGTTTTAAAAAGATACAGCTTCAAACAAACCATGAAATCCTGGCCATTCGTACTGCCAATTTAAATCCAAATATTAACATTATCTCTGTATATTTTTGTCCCAATATGTCACTTGCCGATTTCACGAATGCGTGTAAACTAATGTTCGATTTTGCAAATATGAATAATAATACCATTATTGGTGGTGATTTCAATGCCCGCTGCTTTGTTTTCGGTGACACGGTGTCTCTACCGAAAGGAACAATGTTAAGCAATATGTTGTCTGCTACTAACCTCAGATGTCTAAATAACCACAAACAAACGTACTATCAATCGCTGCAAAACAATGAGTCGCACAGCAGTGTTCTTGATTTAACATTTTCAAATTTTGGAGTTGATGGCTCCACCTGGGATATATCCTCTGTATATCTAGGTAAGCGTCACCATCTTCCAATCATCTTTCAACTCCAGGGTCTGTCAGCACCTCAGTTCATACAGTTAAGATCCAACAAAAAAATAAATGAATCAATTTGATTTTTTATTTTTATGGAAATATAGCTTACTTACTAAAAAAAACCTGTAAATCAAAATTTCAAACTTTGGGCGTGTGTGAATCGGTAACAAAGCTCTATGGGGAAAGCTGTTGAATAATATGTTTAATATGGTGAGACAGTTTTGCCAATCTGCTGTGTGAAATGAAATATTTTTTGACAGCAGTAAATTTTTGATAACCGCAGATTTATGCGGAATAAAATATTACAAATTGAAGTGAAATTAATATTTTAAGAAAACATCTACCATCGTTGATTGCAATTCATGAATTTAAGCTTTTATTTAACGAAAAATTATACACATCAACAATCTTTTCGATTGTCAAAATTTTCTATGCATTTGTCAAAAATTTCACTAGCCTCACGAGCTACTGAAATTTTATTCACCTCATAGTTGTCAAAAATTTACTCGTCGCGAACTTTGTTACCGATTCAGACACGCTCTTTGTAGAACATTAATAAAAATTCAACGAATTTTAAAAAATGTTGATCAAAATTTCAAACTGTTCAATCACATTTTATAGAACATTTTAACAATATAGATAATATTAACAATATAGAATATTAATAGATTGGGCCGTATGAATAAAAAATAAACAATTGCTTTTTCTTAAAATTTCGTAACTTTTACTTCATTTTTGTTTGAATAAATCGAGTAAAATGTACGAAATTTTAAGAAAAAGCAATTGCTATTTTTTATTCATACGGCCCATTGTATTAAAAACACATTTATAGTTAGCAGAAGCTGCATGTTTTTACTACTATGAGTACAACTAGGAAATGTACGGTTACTCCCACAATTGAGCGTACGGCTCTGTTTTGTAAATATTCGTAATGTTTTACATGATAACATTTTTTTTGTTAATTTTGTTTTAAAATATGGCTTATGTTTTAGCAAATCCCATTTAAATCCAAGAATGATACTGTGTACAAAAATTAAGAAAAATTTGCAAAGTTTCAGCAAAATCGCGAACTTTCCAATACGAATTTCTAAAAAGAATTCAGGTATGCAGTTTTTTAGCCCATTAAATTTTAGTATAATAATGTGCAAATTTCAAATCTCTAAAAAATCTCGTTGATTTTTGAAAATTTTGTTTGCTGGCTGTCCTAGGCATTTTTTTTCATATAAATTCTGAAAATTTTTTATATGGAAAAAAATGCGTAGAACAGTTAGCAATAAAATTCTCAAAAATCAACGCGGCTTTTTAGAGATTTTAAATTTGCACATTATTATACTGAAATTTACACTGCATAACTGAATTCTTTTTAGAAATTCGTATTAAAAAGTTCGCGATTTTGCTGAAACTGAAAATATAAGCCATATTTTAAAACAAAATTAACAAAAAAAATGTTATCATGTAAAACATTACGCTCTACTTAATCTATAATTATACGCTTCTTGAGCAGTGCTTAAGTTTGAACTTCGGTTGTACGCTTTCATTAAATGGCGGTTCAAACCAAAAATGTCATCGCCGATAAAATAGAAGGGTGTTTTGGAAAGTTGTCCCTTTAAAGGCTTATCAGCAGGAAAGTTTAATTGGCCTCTTGACAAGTTATCATACAATGAGCTATTTTTGAAGGCCATGACGTCAGATGCTCTTCCATTCGCTCCGATATCGACATATATAAATCTGCTGTGTACATCAACCACTGCAAGAAGAGTAATACTGAAAAAGCCCTTATAATTGTGAAAATCTGATCCAGAACGAGGTGGCGGTTTTATTCGGATATGCTTTGCGTCGAATGCTCCCAAAGTGTGCGGAAATTGCCGAAGTGTTTCAAAATCGTTAGCCACATCCAACCACTCATTTGCTGTCGCAGGTGTCTTAAAGATAAGTAGATAATTATAATTAGTAATAACTACCTTGCTAATTTATAATAAGTAACATAAATAATATACCGACCGCTTTGCGCAAAATTATCGTATGTTACAAAACGAAAATTTTACAGAAAAGTGATTTTTGTATTTTTTTCTGCTTTGGCTAGCACCATCAATACCAAAGTTTAGATTTGCTGAGATAATTGAGAAACATAACTAAACGCAAGACTTTTTTGTAGAGAGGTGTCAACATTCTAATATCTGAGCACATATGATAATTTCGCCCACAAGAAAATATTCATTGTCACATACGATAAAATTTACAGTAAATTTTTGGGGTAGCTATTGGGATTTACGCCATAATATTTGAACAGGTGATTCGTTTTGGGTTGTAAAAGAAAGTTGCATTAAAATGTGAATTACGTAAAAAATGTAATTTTGCGCAAAGGGGTCAATATTATATATACATATCGTTACCTTAATATAGAAAGGCCCCATATATGATTTTTTTCTTTACAGAGCAGTTATATAACTTTATAAAAACCAAAGTTCTTCAGTGTCGAATTTATTCGAAACACTGGTTTTTAATAAACACTGAAACTAGTTTAATGATGTTGTAGTTGTTTTTTAATTCTTATCATGATAAAAACATAGTAAGGTAAAACCGTTCTCTCAATGCGTCGGCCTTGATTTCTTTTTTAAGTTTGCCAACATTTTAAAATCGTATAAAATTGAGAGTAAAAAAAGGAATTGTTCAAAGTGGTTGTTATTTGAGATTGAAAATGAGAATGTGTGTGTGAGTTTGTGTGTAAAATTTTAAAATTAAATTGCTTGCAAACGTCAAGAATTTGAAAAATTCCTCTCAGCGGTTCTACCTTCCTATTTTTTTATCATGATTCTTATTCTTCCTTGGTGAGCAATTTTCCCACTTTTGTACAAAGCGGAATTTCGAAAGAAAATTAGTTAGGGTCTTTATATATTAAGGTAACGATATGTACACTATACCTAATACCTAATACATATTTCCGAAAGTGTGTATACATACATGTATCAGTTGCATCCTAAACAGATGGACAAAATCAGCGAGAAAACATAACTGTGATAGGTGCTTATTGTAAGGCAATTGTAAGGTATATACAGGGTGCCCAGAACTCAACGTCAAGCCGAAACGGGGTGACATCCCATGTAGTTTGAAAATTATGGGCATTTAAGAAAAACCTAGAAATTTGGTCAAACTGTAACCATTTTTCGGTTATTGTGGTTAATTTTTATTATTTTTGTTCATTTAAACTTTGGAACCTTAACCCTAAATAACATTTCTAGAACCCAAGTCTAAAATAATGACACCATTGCCCCAAGTTTTCTAGAATTAAGACTATTTGTTAAACTGTGAATTTAAAATTTTTATAATTTGTCGACTTTGAAAGGCCCTCCTTTAAAAAAAGTGTACTAAGGTGCCTTGACAAGTGCCATTAAAAGTTCGCGCATTTAATCGGAATTGTAAAATGGTGCAATACTTGTTAGTTTCATACTAAAAAAAAACGAGTAAAAAAATAAAAACCTCAAGTAACCCGATTTTTGCTAACGCATTTTACTCAGTTCAAATGTTTTTTATTCGCACAAGCTCTTGGTAGGTTCTTAATTTTACGGCAAAATGATGAGAGAGATGGATAGTGGACATGTTTGCCATGAGCGAGCGAGACAGATAGTGACGCCACGCAGTGAGACGGAGATGCGTCGTTTAAACGCGTGCGAATGAAACAGATTCAGTCGCCATACCAAGCAAATGGCTACGCTACCGGTCTGACGCTGTAACGGCAACACTTCAGTTAGTACGTTTCGCTCATTCGTCTACAGCGCACCTTTCCGTATTCGCTTGTGTTGATTTAGTACTGACAACTTTGGCTTTTTGGACTTAGATTTTTGTGAATTGAATTTGTTGATTACATACCGGCAAATTTGGCTTCTCTCTTTTGGAATTGGACTTTTGTGTTGGCATCCTTGTTATCTACCATGCCTACGCGCTACACTTCACAAGAATATGCGAACATGCACCTCATTTATGGAGAATGCAGATGCAACGCAAGTGCCGCCGCTAGACTTTATCGACAAAGATATCCAAATTTAGAGCGCTATCCGGATCATCGCGTGTTTGTTAATGTGCACCGTTCACTCAGAGAGGGCGGCCAATTCCCGAATGAAATACGGGCTGGTGGTAGAGCTCGCTTTCCTTACGAGGAAGAAGTGTTGCAAGAGGTCGCAGATGACCCAAGTATTTCCGTTCGTGGAATTGAAGAAAGAACGGGAATACCCAAAAGCACTGCACATCGTATTTTACAAAGAGCCGAAATGCATCCGTTTCACGTACAACGAGTTCAAAGTCTTCTTCCTCGAGATTATCCTGAAAGGATTTCATAGAACAATGCTACAGAGGCATAATGAAAATCCCCAATTCATCCAAAAAATTCTCTGGTCAGATAAATCTACATTTAAAAAAGATGGTTACATAAACTTACACAATTTTTGCGAGTGGCATGTCCACATTTAATGCGAGAAGACAGATCCCAGTATCGCTTTAAAGTAAACCTGTGGACCGGAATTTTAAACGGGAAAATTATTGGGCCTTTAGACCCGCCTGAGAACTTGAATGGCACGAATTACCTACATTTTTTACGAGAAAATTTACCAACTTTGTTAGAGGACATACCACTAACAGATCGTCGCCACATGTGGTATCAACAAGATGGCTGCCCAGCGCATTACGCAGTGCAAGTAAGAGATTTCCTTGACCAGGAATATCCGGGGAGGTGGATTGGACGTTCAGGCACTATCTCGTGGCCAGCCCGTTCCCCAGATTTAAATCCTCTGGATTTTTTTTATTGGGGCGTTCTCAAAGAAAAAGTTTATTCAAAGCCTATTGAGAGCGTAGCCGAGCTGCATGAACGAATTTCTCAAGCTGCTGAGGACATCCACTCTCGAGGATATACCCTGCTAATAAGTAGATCGTTTTTAAGAAGGTGTAGGGCGTGTATTGAGGCTGATGGTAAGCAATTTGAATATTTATTGTAATAAAAAATTTTATTTCCCTATCTGACTTTTATTCCAATAAACCTAAACTAAACTAGGTCAAGATTTTTCATTATTTTATTAATTTTACTTACTTTTGTTGACGTTGGTAAAAGTGGCGTCACTAACTGTCTCGCTCGCTCATGGCAAACATGTCCACTATCCATCTGTCTCATCATTTTGACGTAAAATTAAGAACCTACCAAGAGCTTGTGCGAATAAAAAACATTTGAACTGAGTAAAATGGGTTAGCAAAAATCGGGTTACTTGAGGTTTTTATTTTTTTACTCGTTTTTTTTTTAGTATGAAACTAACAAGTATTGTACCATTTTACAATCCTGATTAAATGCGCGAACTTTTAATAGCACTTGCCAAGGCACTTTAGTACATTTATTTTTAAAGGAGGGCCTTTCAAATTCAACAAATTATAAAAATTTTATATTCATACTTTAACAAATAGTCTTAATTCTAGAAAACTTGGGCAATTGTGTCATTATTTTTGACTTAGGTTCTAGAAATGTTATTTAGGGTTAAGGTTCCAAAGTTTAAATGAACAAAAATAATAAAAATTAACGACAATAACCGAAAAATGGTTACAGTTTAACCAAATTTCTAGGTTTTTCTTAAATGCCCATAGTTTTCAAACTGCATGGGATAGATTTTTTTTCTGATTTTTCTCATGATGGATACAATCAATCCTGTCACCCCGTTTCGGCTTGACGTTGAGTTCTGGGACACCCTGTATATAGATGGGTTTTTGTAGGGGGCGAGGCACATCCCATAGGTGCACAATTTTTAATCAGTTATAGCTTTGAAACCGTAAGTCGCATGAGATTAATATTCGCTTTTGAGGCAAACACACACATTACTCTGTGGAATTATTTGTTTGAATTCTGCACTTAATATGTAAACTCATACTCCTGCTAAGCTCCCATTTGGTCTGTTAAGTGGAGTACCATCGAAAGGAAAGAACCTTAAGCACCACGAAATTGATATTTATTTTTGAGACACACCCAACGGGACTGAAAGTTAGCTGCTCCCCAAAGGAGCAAGTACGGAGCAGTACAAAAGCAAAGTAAAAAATAAATTTTTAAATTTCTAGCAATGCTCAGAAATAAATATCATTTTGAGTAGTAAAATAAAATATTTTCCTTTGGAAAAAAAGTTAATTTATGTACAAACATGTATGTATGTATTTTCGTATGTATACCGCATAGAAAAGAAAAAAAAACATGTTTATATGTAAGTACACTTAATAAAACCATCAAATGGTTTACAAAAACGCCATTCTTTTATTAAAACAAAAATATAATATAAATATTAAAATTTGCATGCATCGCTTTTTAAATGCTTTAGTTGAAGCGCTCACCAAGGGCTTCTTTGGGAGCAGCAAGGGAGCGCTTCTTTCTAATGACACACAATGTTAAAATACAATGAAGTATGAAATTAGGAAGTGAGCGCTTACTGCTGAATATGGAGCGCTCCAATAGAACTAATGGAGCGCTTCTGGCCCCGTTGGGCATATACACATTACTCTGTGAGTCTTTTGTTTACATCATATACATGTGGGGCTGAACACCTTTTGCAGAGAGCACCTTTCTGAGTAGGCGGCCTTTGGCCGCACTTAGGGATTATAACCAGTGTTGCCGCGCATAATTTTTAGTGGTAGCCAAATTGCTTTAAAAAAGAGCTAAAAAAAGTCGTTGTGGCTAAAAATGGTAGCTAAAATTTTTTACTTACATATACATATAAGTAATGGTATATAAAAATAATGAACTTTGGAAAATTTTATCCAACCAAAAACCTTTTTGTATAAAAGGGGAAATATACGACACCAGCTTGCTGGTTCCATCAAGTGATTGTACCATCAGGCTCGAAGCATATAACTTACCAGCATGCTGGTACAATATTTATTTCTTTACAAATGAGGTCGAGGAAAGATCGAAATGATTAGAGCCGAAATTTCATAATTTTTCTAACATTTTGTTAAACATTGTTTGTTTTCTGTAATTCACTACCGCAATATCGAGAATTTAATCTTCCACAAACACGGCTTTGACTCATATAGTGCAAGAAATTTCCGCCAAAATACTTTTTACTTAGAAAATTGAGCTAATTTCACCATTAACGACATCAGCATGCTGGTACAATCACACCACAAGAACATACACGGTCAATCGACTTGATGGGTCATTTAACAAATTTAGCATATTAAGGGCCGTGAACTTATCTATTTTAAACTATAGTTAAATCGTTAACAGATAAGTTAACAGCCCCAATACTTTTACAGTATGTATGTTAGTTTAAAAATTCATCTCTTACATAAATGCAAAAAAAAAAACAAATTAAGCATATACAACTTTTTCATGCCAAGGATGAATAAATTCTAAAAAGGGCTAAAACAAGGGCTAGGGGCAATTTTAAATTTATGTGGCCAAAAAAAGTATGTGGTAGCTAAATCTAGCCACCAAAGGGCTAAAACGGCAACACTGATTATAACCCTCACTAAGTAGTTAGAATTCTCCTTTTTGTATTGCCGAAGAAAGGTGCTGAACACCTTTTGCAGAGATATTTCGTGAATATTTTTGTTTACAGCTCAGCTCGGAAACTTGCAAAAGTACCATATTTCCAAAGTTATTAATAAATTAGTGCACAGATATAGTAGATTTGGTTTTTATAATAAAGCGCGAACTCTTGCCTACAAGTGTTTCTAAAATTCTTTTTATTCGAATCACGCGTTTGGGCACAGCAACCCAATCGTTGTACAAATAAATAAACAGTACCCCTAAACAGTACCAGAAAATTAACTCACCTTCAAGTATTCATCCTGAAGAACAGCAATTAAAGCTTGTAGTACTTCCGGTAAAAAATTGCTAATTGTCTTCCGCGAAATATGTGTTAAAACTCTGACGACCGAAAGGAATCCCCAGTCGCTAGGTAGCGGAGTGTAACAGCAAGGCGAACTCTTGAGGTTATGGCACATCTCATATTTGTCTCAATTTTCTTTATTCTCGAATTCACCTACATACATGCATGTACATTAGAGTGGTCCAAAATAATAAAGTCGGAATTTTAATGCCGCCACCCCCTAGGATTGTTCTGAACCGAAAATAAATATACCCCTATTTTTTTTATTTTGAAATCAATAAATATTTAGGGAGTGCCCACAGCGCTCAAAGTTTTCCATGTATTGTATATGGGGAAAAAACAAATTTTCGTAAAAATGGCATAAAACTCTTGAAAATCAATATTTTTCAATCGTTAAACTGTGGTTCTCTTCAGGAGACTTCAAATATTGATATCCAATTGTTTATTTAACCATTTTTTATGATTAAAGATTTTTTATTGGTACCCCCATTGCATTTTCAAGGACCCATAAAATATAGTCACCATGAAAAAATTGTTAAAGGAACAATTGGGTATTATTACCGGGAATCTCCTGAAGATAAGCTAAGTTTTCCGATCGAAAAATATTGATTTTCAAGAATTCTACACTATTCATTTTTGGACCACTTTAATGTACATACATACATATCAATATCATATTCATCACAAAAAGATCAAAAAATTATAATATATAATTACCTTTGAAAGAATCTCATTAAACTGGTCAATTGACTTCCTACAAAAGTTATTGAAGGCCTGTCATTCTTCCCATAAAATGGATTAACCCAAAATTTATGGTTTTTCATTTTTCGCCTTTCTTCTATAATTCTTTGCAAATTTTCATTTTTTCAAGCCCTTCTATGCAAAGTATATGGCTACTTGGCGCCATTTTGCACATGCTTATATCAAGATATAAAAAGCCCAAACACAAATATGGTCACTGATATAACTTATATCTAGCAACCAAAATGACAGCAATAATTTTATCTTATGGAGACGGCCAGTAAGTCACGTAGAATGTTGTCTATAACCCTTTGAAATTTGGCGGGCGCATTTTTAAGACCAAATGGCATTCTTATGAATTCATAGTGACCATGATCAACGGAAAAGGTAGTTTTAGGTATATCTTCTTTTTTAACTCAATTTGATAATAACCGGAAGCTAAATCAAGGGTACTGAAGTACATACTTTTGCCAAGTTTGTCGAGGATATCGTTAATGTTTGGGAGAGGATATCGGTCACCTATAGCTTTTTGGTTGAGCTTTCTGTAGTCAACGACCAACCTCCATTTTTGTTTCCCGCTTGCATCAACCTTTTTCGGAACGATCCAAATGGGTGAAGCCCAAGGCCGGTAACTTGGCTGTATTATTCCATCTTCTAGCATTTTCGAAACATGCCTTTGTAGTTCAGCTCTACACATTTCCGGATATCTATAAGATTAAACTTTGGCCTTCGTTAAAAAAATCTCTTAAAAACTTTTGCATTATTTTATTAGCTGTCTTTTTTCTCTGAATTGACATGGTTTGTTCTTATTGAGTTCAGAATACTGTATTCCGTTGTACTATTTGCGCTACATTAGGGGTATTCTCCAAATCTTGCAAAGCCATTGCACGTAGCACGGGTTGCATGGATTGCATAACTTGCAAACACACTACAACAAAATACATGGGAAACCACATTTCCTATCGCTGCAAACTATGCAACGTCGGAACCCATGTATATATTTTGCAAAATAGCATAGCAAGATAAATGCAACCCTGTGCTAGTTGTTTTGTTGTTGGAATTGCTACATATTTCTCTCATTCCTCTCATCTCGCTCACTTAATTTTTTTTTTCTGTCTCTTGTTATTGTATTTGATACATAATTTCGCTGCTTGCTACCCATGCATGCTACCACTTTGCAATGGGGTGCTCTCGTACTCTTCGAAATTTGGAATAGTATTTTTGCATTTCGTGCAATCCGTGCATCGTGCAAGACTTCGAGAATGCCCCTATTGTATTGAATAATTGCATGCTTCCAAAAACGTGTCGCTAAAGTGTTCGACTTTAATAGACTAGTCTATAATAAAATTTTGTTCATTATCGGAAAGATTCATGACTTCAGCCAAAGAGTACCCTTGGCCTTAAAAATTCCTTCGGATATAAAGTTTTTCATTGATGCATTTTTGTTGAGTATAAATATCGCCTGACTGTATATCTACTGGTAGATGAGCCGCTATCGCGCTTCTAGGTGGAACCTGATATAATTTGGACATATAGTTTGGTTTATATATAAGAGGTATTATTGTATTTGCTGTTTTTAATATTGATTTTTCTATATCAATTATTACACCAAGCTGTTTCATAGGGAGTGCAATGGGGTATAGTCGTTGCGCTGGGTATGCAGTTACAGTTGCATGGCTATACTCAATCCCGACTCTTGCGTCCTTGTTCGCGCACTCTGGGCAACGTGAGCAACCCATGTGCGGTAACCAATCCGAGTGGGGCCTTGGGTCACGGCAGAAAGAGAGGGAGCTTCGGTGGGGCCACTCCGACTTATTCGGTTTAAGGGCTCACTGAAGTCTGCAGCGTCTGTTCACCAGTAGGTGCGGCTGCAAGCGGGTGTCTGCTTGGAGCAAGCGGCTCGCTATATAAACGTGTATTTGGTTGCGAAACCACCCCCGTCCCAGCAATGGGTTGTGCGCTGGGCTTGGGACCCGCCACGTAAAAACCACTTCCAGTGAAGAAGCAAGGCAAAGCCTCGGATGA